AAAACAATGTGAAAAGCAATTTTTTAAAATAAACAAACCATTTACAAAGCAAATTTACCATCATTCGTCCAAAAAATTGTAAATAGTCGCTGTTATGTGGACCATAGCCTATCGAAAAGAAGATGGCTGTGAAACCATTAGAATAACAATAGAACTCATTATCTATGTTAGTTAACTTTGGTTCTTCACCGGCGTCACGTGTGTATTGTATTTTTACCAAATCCACCAATAGCAATTTCCAGTTTCCCTATTGTTCCAGTCACGGATAGGTAACTTTCTTAAAACATTGCTATTGGTTAGTTGGGCAAGAATACAATACACACATGACGGTGAAGATTGATGAATAAACGTTGACCAACATAGATAATGAGTTATATTGTTATTCTAATGCGTTTCACAGCCATCTTCACTTCGATAGGCTATGTGCGGACGTATCTCGCAGACTTATAAGCATGCGTTTGTGCCAAAAAATAAAAATTTCTAGTGTTGCTAAAAAAGACACGCCCCCCCCCGCTCTGGGAAATTTATCTTTGCGAACATTTTTTGTTTATTCTACACTATAAGTACCCAAACAATCTATTTTTATCAAATATTTTATAACATGAACGGATTTGTGATTAAAACAAGAACGGATTTGTGATTTAAACTTAATAAAACACTCCTGCTCGTTTATTTATTAAACAGTACTTCAAACCCCACCAAAATTTCGCTTCACATTTCTTCTTTTGTGTGAAAGTCTTTAACCTTAACGCCTAATCCCTGCTGAAACTAGCAATGTCCGTAATGCATAAAATTAATTTATATATTGGGTAGAATCTCAAAGATTTTCTCAATATTTACGTCTGAAATGTTTATACATTTGAAAACAACATTGTCTCGCTCGTTCTTATAGCTCTGTATAATGAATATACCGTCAAAATAACATCGGCAATGCCAATTAATTGAATGCCCGTAATCTATAACATCAATTCATATGTTGGTAAAATCTCGAAGATTTTCTCATAGTACTGTGAACCTCAGTCGTAATACAACCCATGCCCGTAATTGTAAAATGATATTATACAGGGTGTCTAAAAAAAAAAAACGCTACGGAAATTCAACAGACTGTCGTGCATCACAAACTTAACTAAACAGTTTAATTTTTACATTGGACGAAAGAGCTATCATGTAGCTTTTCTGTGATACCTTTTTTAAACCTTAACGATGAGAAATGACCACATACTCGTCAAATAAAAATTGTCGGTCGAAATCACATTCTTCCACCGTTGGGAATTGAAAGGACATTAATTATGCAAAGTTATAATCAATCCAAAAGCAACGCAAGCCTTCTGCAAGGTACTTGTTTCGTAAAACGTTTTGATTACGAATGTTCTCTGTTCAGTGGTTAATGGACCATGTTTAATGCAATAATGGACGTTCTTATGGTCTCACTCCATGAGACAAAGATGGACGAGTTGAGCTTATTTTAGATAATTCAACATTCAATTTTAATTCCCTCCTGGAAATTGTTTATTGTTCGTTTTCCTTGCAACTCCCAAAGGTGGAAGAATGTCATTTCGACCGGCAATTTTTATTTGGCGAATATGTGGCCATTTCTCCTCGTTACGATTTAAAGAGAGTATCATTGAAAAGCTAAATAACTGTTCTTTCGTTCTATGTAAAATTGAATTGTTTAGCCACGTTTATGATGCACGATAGCCTGTTGAATTTCCGTAGCGTTTTTTTTTTAGACACCCTGTATATATGTGAAAACATGTGTATTAGTTCAGTATAACAGTAACTTGGTTATAACGTACGTCTCTAAATGTTGGATAAAATAAGTAAGAACATGTATGATCATGAATATAAATATAGATTTTTATAATCTATAACAGCTATAAACGATTAGTTGGCCGAACGTCGCGAAGCTCGTTCGCACTACGCTGTGACGCACTACTTCATGTAAACCTTTTATATAGTGACTCGTATATGTGAAATCGTGCCCGGAGCACTGAACTATATAACATGGAAGGCTGACTCGAGCTCTAAGAGTGAAGCCATATGTATCTAGTCATCATACCTGTGATTGTAACCCATGTGGAAATGACATTAAAAACGTCAAGCTATAGACATTGAAGATTTGCAGAAACAAATTAGTTCTATTAACAATGTTATTGATTCTACAAATGGCATTATACAGTAGAGTCAATCAGTGAAATTTTGCTTCCCGGTGATGGCGATGGTCTTACTCATGATTGCAGAACTGAGTCTATGGTAAATGAGCTGTTTAAAATCATTGATGAGAAGCATAAAGTAATTATGGATCGTGATATAATATTATTAGGGAACTTAGAACTAAATTATCAGAGGCCGAAAGTGAGAGAGACTTACTAAAACAACAAAAATACTCATTAGATACGCAAGATACATTCCAATGTAATGACACAATAGAAAACCAACGAAGCCTGTCGTCAAAAACAATACCTATTGATGAGTCTACGGGTGAGGGAGACTCACTAAAACAACAAAAATACTCATTAGATACGCAAGATACGTTCCAATGTAATGACACAATAGAAAACCAACGAAGCCTGTAGTCAAAAACAATACCTATTGATGAGACTACAGGTACGAGAATAACACTGATATTAGTCTGAATAATGGTAAATCTCATGTCTCTGACTCTAACTCGGCTTTGCAAAATATTCCAGTGCCTGCTATAACAAACCTGAAGGCCCTCACGACCATGCCTCATGCGTTACCAAAAAATAATCCAGAAAATAGGTTAGGAAAGCTGCCTCTCTTAGAGGGAAAGCACAAGGCATCTTGTACTCTCAAGTCTGCTAAGCAAAATATTTCACAAACATCTACCATGATGACAACAGATGCTAGAATGACGTAGAATGCCATCAAAACCCCAATACCTATGTCAAAAAATACTACGGGGCCGACCATTTAACTTTTG